GTAGTGTGTGTGTGTGTGTGTGTGTGTGTGTGTGTGTGTGTGTGTGTGTGTGTGTGTGTGTGTTTAAATTACACGCGGAAACCTGAAACCGACTGGTTGGTGCCAGGGTGGTTACACGATCTGTTTTTCTTGAACAGAGGTCTGTAGGCAGCTGGAGCGCGCAAGTACCGGCCCCCGCCGGTGCTGCTTCGCGCCTGCAAAACTTGCCTGAATTAAATCAACCTCGGGGGAAGGAGGGGAGAGGGGGCGAGGGCGCTCCCTACCGCGGCCCAAGCACCGCGGGCAAAGCCTGCGCCACGCCGGGAATCCCCCAGAATACTCCGCGGCGGTGGCGGCGGCTGGCCCCTCTCCAAAGTGGACCGGCATCCGGCGCTGCGGGTCTGCTCTCTCCGCTGCAATTGCGTCCTGGACCGCCGGGCTGGCTGGGGCTTCAGTGTCTGGAAGCACTTTTTGCCCTTGCCAAGTGCACCCAGAACGTAGAAGCGTGAGGTTTGGGCGACTCGCTTGACCATCGTGGCTTTTATTTTAGTCCGAATTGCGCAGAGCCGCTCAGCCAGCTGAACGCAATTGGCTTGCGAGACCCAAGGCGCAGGACACGCGACTTGCGTCGTCCCGGGGCACCGAGCCCGAGGTGGTGGTGGCGGGTCTGTGGACTGTTAAGAGTTCACCTGGTGAGTGCCCAGGTCACAGCTTTTTATAGTGTTCAGGTTATACACGTGAGGCTTGCCCGGAGCGTCCCTGGGCGCCACGGAGCCCACTTGCCCGACGGGAACGTCCCAGGTGCTCCCAAGGAGGAGGCTCTGCTTTTCTAAGAGCACGCGAAAAGATACTCTCGCAAGGCGTCAACAAAAGATGCCTTTGCCTGCGCGGTATGCGGGGCCAGGGCATGAAGAGCCGTTGAGCGCTCCGCACGCCGAGCTCCCATCACCGGCCTTTGGCGGCTTCTGGGCCTAGATAGGGCTGTTCTCGCACCACGTCGGTCAAAGGAAACGGGGACACCCGACTCTCGAGGGCTCTAGTTATCACTGTAACTGTGGGCGTCTTCGGAATTCCTCCGCGGCTTCGCTAGGCCAGGAGGGTGTCTGCTGCTCGGCTCCTTAAAGTGCCTCAGCGAACCAAAAATCCCGAAGAAACTACATTGGCGTAAAGAATGTTCCCGGCCTGGGTTGACAGCGAAATAATCCAGCTCTGAAAGGGTCTCCTTCATTTAGGACGGGCCAAGAGGCTGCTCTTTCCCACGGGGCTCTCTTGCACGCCTCACCCTAACTGCTCTTACCTACTCTAAAACAGCTGCTGGGCTAAGAAAATCTGGCCAAACTGCACTTGCAAGAAAGCTAGTTCCTGACTAAAGATAAAAAGTATGAACCTGCCCCGCTCACCGCAGTTCTACGACCAAAGGGGTGACAACCCCCTTCGTGGTCCTCCTCTCGGGCAGCTCACTGAAAGTCGGAAGCCAAAAACACTCGACCTAGTTAGTGTCGCCAAAGTTGGAGAGTAGGGACAGTGTCCCCAGCAGTCTTGACCGACGGCCTCCTGCCTTCAGATTTAGGCACAGAAAGGAAAAAAAAGAAATAAAAAACCGAGTGAGCCACAGTTCCTAACTGCTCCCTTCTTCTCAACTCGCGGAACTGAAAGGGACCAGTGAAATTTGCAACTTCAGACATCTAATTTTACAAATACTGAAACTGAGGCCCAGAGAGTGGAAGAGCGTGTATTTTTATTCCCCCTAAGCTGTTTTTCCTCCCAGCCCAAGAGCGGAGGCAGCCAAAATCAGAATATAACTTCGGGTTTTCCCTGTAGTCCATTGGGATTCGCTGCTGGGTGCGCGGGGGAATGCGGAGCAGGTACTTGCTTCTCAGACCCCTGCAAGCACCGGGACCTCAGCGCCGCGGCACATCCACCTTTCTCTCATAGGTCACACCAGGGCTCTGTAGATTGATCATTTTGATTTCCTACTTGATTTCAATTATCCCTGTTTCCCTAAATGTGCTAAGAATAGCAAAGACTTCGTTCTGACACACCCAGGTGATGGGACCTCGGAGTTCGCAACTCCTCCCTCTGGCCCCAGCTCAGACGTCACCACCCCGGGGGAAATGCCTCACGGTGCCCCATCTACCGGTCTTGAGAAACACGATGGAGCCTCCATCTACCAAGCCCTTAGTATCTATCCTAATTTCCTGGTACTGTCGGCTGTCCCTCTAGACCGAGGTCACAGAGCGCACCGTGTACCTGGCGCCAATCATTGGGCCTAACATACAGTTGGCGCACAATAAAGTTGTGAAGTTGGCATTTGACGAAAACATCCCAGGCACCCATCCCCATGAGCTTTTCCCTCCAACCCTCCAGGCATTGGAATTTCCTTGCAGAGAAGAGGCCTTGAGGCCACAAAGCTCCGAACTTGGCCCAGGGTGGCTGGTCCCGGAGAAAGGTAGTGTAAGGAGAGAAGCTCGGAGCTGGTAGGTGGGAAGAGGGAAGGGCAAGGGCGGGGACAGTCCGGAGATGCAGGAAAGGAGAGAGAAAGCAGGGTCCAGTCCCCCTCTGCCGTGCGTCGCGACCCGGGTGGGGTGCAGCAGAGGTGCCGGGCGCTGCACCCCTCCCTGTGAACAACCTGCGCCCCCCCCCGACTTGACGGCTGCTGGGGGGCTGCGAGCGGGTGGTGAATGCTGTGGGTGGGGGCGCCCGAACTCAGGCGGAGGAGGGGGCGGGGGCGAGGCACCGCGCCTCCTGGCACCTTCTTCAGCAAGAGACACGGCGGCGGCGCGGAGTCCCTCAGCCTCGGTCATGTGATAGTCTCGAAGCGCGAGCTGCGGGGGTCTCAGCGTTTCGGGGACCATTACAAAACGCAGCCAGGAGAGCGCGTCGCTGCCACAGCCGCCGCCGCCGCCTCTCCAGCTCAAGACGGGCCCGGGAGAGCGGCGGCAGCTGCGGCGCGGACGGCACAGCCGGCCTCCGCCAATCTCGCATCCTCGCGGCATTCGCAGACGCCCCCTCAGGCCTGCCGCTCGAGTCCCGCGCCCCCTCCCCTCCTCGGAGTCTGCAGGCGCAGCGGCTGCAACAACCACCAAACTTTTCCCCCCAAGCGACCGCCTACAGCTCCATCCCCAGCTAGCCGCGAGCTGCGGGAGAAAAGGGGGACGCGGGCTGCCAGGAGCCGGACTTCCTTCTCCTTACCTCGCCTGTCCCCTCCAGAAAAAAGAACTGCAGAGCGGACTAAGTGACGGGTCATAGGGCAGCGCTCAGCACGGGTAGGTACCGCCGCCCCGGGCCGCCAGGACCGCGAGCGCCAACCTCGAATTTAAAGGGCCAGAGCCCTCACTGTCCAGCCCGCTTCTTCCCAGCCCGCTTGGCCTGCGCTTCCCTCGGACGGAGAAAAAGCACCGAGGAGGCCGGAAGGGAACACGGCCCTCCCCACTGCTCCCGCCGGCTCCAGCTCTCCTTCTGCCCACGCGCGGGAAGACGCCGCTAGGGTGGCGGTGAAACTGGCGCGACCAGCCCGCGACTGTGCGCGCCGGTCGGCGACCGTCGGGGCCAGAAGTTGGGATCGCCGGAGAGCTAACTTGAGACCGCAGACAGCTGAGAGAAGGCGGCAGAGAAACCGCGAGAGGGTCTGGGGGACAGAGGGCGGGGTGGCGGGGCTGGGCGGGCGGAGCAGGAGTTAGTGAAGACGGCCAGGCCCCGGGAGCGGGGTGCGGAACCGGAGGGCGGTGGAGGCGCCAGGGGCGATGCCGCGGCCGGGGAAGAGTTCGTACAGCGACCAGAAGCCGCCCTACTCGTACATCTCGCTGACCGCCATGGCCATCCAACACTCGGCCGAGAAGATGCTGCCGCTAAGCGACATCTACAAGTTCATCATGGAGCGCTTCCCCTACTACCGTGAGCACACGCAGCGCTGGCAGAACAGCCTGCGCCACAACCTCTCCTTCAACGACTGCTTCATCAAGATCCCGCGGCGGCCCGACCAGCCGGGCAAGGGCAGCTTCTGGGCGCTGCATCCCGACTGCGGTGACATGTTCGAGAACGGCAGCTTCCTGCGGCGCCGCAAGCGCTTCAAGGTGCTGCGCGCGGACCACACTCACCTGCACGCAGGAAGCACCAAGGGCGCGCCAGGTGCGGGCCCCGGAGGGCACCTGCACCCCCACCACCCGCACCACCCGCACCACCACCACCACCATCACGCCGCCGCGCACCACCACCACCACCACCCGCCCCAGCCGCCGCCGCCCCCGCCCCCGCCGCACATGGTGCACTATTTCCACCAGCAGCCGCCTCCGGCTCCGCATGCGCCGCCTCACCTCCCGTCGCAGCCGCCGCAGCAGCCGTCCCAGCAGTCGCAGCCTCAGCAGCCGTCTCACCCCGGCAAGATGCAGGAGGCGGCGGCCGTGGCGGCGGCCGCCGCGGCGGCGGCGGCGGCGGCGGTGGGCAGCGTGGGGCGCCTGTCGCAGTTCCCGCCGTACGGGCTGGGCTCTGCTGCCGCGGCTGNGCGGCGGCGGCGGCGGCGGCGGTGGGCAGCGTGGGGCGCCTGTCGCAGTTCCCGCCGTACGGGCTGGGCTCTGCTGCCGCGGCTGCCGCTGCCGCCGCCGCGTCCACGTCGGGCTTTAAGCACCCGTTTGCCATCGAGAACATCATTGGCCGGGACTACAAGGGCGTGCTGCAGGCAGGCGGGCTGCCCTTGGCGTCAGTCATGCACCACCTGGGTTATCCCGTGCCAGGCCAGCTCGGCAATGTTGTCAGCTCCGTGTGGCCGCACGTCGGTGTCATGGATTCGGTGGCCGCGGCCGCCGCGGCCGCCGCCGCCGCGGGGGTACCGGTGGGCCCGGAGTACGGGGCCTTTGGGGTGCCGGTCAAGGCCCTGTGCCACTCGGCAAGCCAGAGCCTGCCTGCGGTGCCGGTGCCCATCAAGCCGACTCCAGCCCTGCCGCCGGTGGCCCCGCTGCCGCCCACGCTCAGTGTAGCCGCGGCCGCACAGCAGCCTCCGGCGCCATCCACAGTGTGCCCGGCCGCCGCGGCCTCACCTGTCGCCTCCCTGCTGGAGCCCACCGCCCCGAGTGCGGCCGAGAGCAAGGGTGGCTCCCTCCACTCGGTGCTGGTGCACTCCTAGAGCACCCAGCGGGAGGGGAAAGATGAACACAGTGAGAGACGCCTGGCGGGGAACGGCCGGAGAGGGAGAGGGCGCCCTGACCAGGCTGGGCTGAGCTGACGGGCCCCAGCCTTTGCCAGAAAGGAAGGTATTTTAACAGACAAACAAACCCGAAAGTGGATTCTCCAGTGGTCTGAATAAATATAACACTTCTGGTGTCTGTGTTTATACTATGTTGTACAATCACATTAATGAAAGCCAATTTTCAGGTAAGAGTTTCTATTGTAATTAATGCTATAAATCAATAAGGTATGGGGGACGGGAAGGAAAGAATTAGGGTAGGCCTCATTCGCTGGCAAATTGAAATGGATTTCGACCTTGATTCTTGAGACCAGAAGTTGTTGGATCTAAACATCCGGAGCAGAAATCTAACAGAAAGTGACGCCGAAACAGAGCTCAGCCACCAAGTTTCTCTCCACTGGTGTCATACCGGGCAGCCGCCTCCCGTGAAACATTTAAGACAAAACTGCTATTGACTAAGGAAATCTCGTTTAATTTAAGAAAGAAAAGAGGGAGCAGGACCGTTAGATGCCGTTATTTTCCTGGCCAGGGAAATGGGCAAAGGACACTGTATCATGAATAAAGCCGATTTAGGGGCAGTGGGAACCCCACAAAGGATCTTGGGAAACAGTTAAGTTTCTTGCCTCTGACCCGGGGGTCGAGAAGGATAGGAGGAAGGCTAAAGCAATTAGTTTGCACAAAAGAGAAATGGCAGCGGCTTAAACAGCAAAGCCCCAGGTTCCAAAAGTAAAGTTCGAGAAACACAACCAAAGAGACAATAAAGGCGACTTTCTACATGCAATTTGTGTATCAGTCGGATGAGACCGTTAAGGAGGCTCCAAAATAATGTGAATTCCCACGATCCGTTCCATTTGGGATTTTAAAGGGAAAAAATCATTTGCATCGCGGGATCTTATTTCCCTAACTCGTGAATGCAAGAAAAATCTGCCACACCACCCGACAGTATTGCTCTTAACGCTTCCAGGAGCGTTTCTTGGCCGTTGCCTTCCAGCCGCCTCGGGACAGATGCGAGAGGACGACGCGGTCACCATTGTACGCTGCCATCGATTTGGTATTCCGTGTGCTGCTTGGGCGCGCCTATGTCTTTCAGGCGAATTCTTCAGTTTCCGTTTGTGACAGGAAAAGAAACTTAGCTTGCTGCGGCTGCTCCTTCCCCCGTTTTGAGCCCCAGTAATAGCACTTTACTCGCAGCAAACTTTTGGGAACGAAGCGGGGCGGGTAGGGTGGAGGCAGCGGCCCTTTGCCTCTAAGTCACCTCTGGCTTGTGTCCGCGCCGCATTCGGGTTGTGACTTTGTGACAAGTTCATGTCTGCCGGTGTTGTTCGCGGTGTTCTCCATTAAAGCTTCTCTCTGCATATGCCAGTGCCCGTGTGAAGATGTTTAGCTTCTCCAGAGCCGAGGTCGCGGTTTGGGTGCCCACTGCGCGGTCAGAGGACCTTGCAAACCCTCCTCGTGCCCTTTATTTTTTAACACCAGAATTTCAACGGGGTGAGTTCATTGGCCAGCCACCAGCAGGGACAGGTTTCCTCCGTTACTCATTTTATCAGTTGAGGCAATTATCTCCTGTACTGCCCATTCTTATCACGCTGGTTTCCTAACTGAGCTCTAAGCCACCTCTGTGCTACAGACTGAATTAGCAAAAACCGGTGATTTTTTTTCTGCTCCTACGTAAGGTTCATATTGACACACCAACACCATCATCCAACACCCTTTTCCCTTTTCTGAGGGTCTCGAGGGCAAGCCACAGCGAGGGACTTCGGGCCATTGGATGGGTACACAGCGGCGCCCCCTTAAGTTTGAGGGGCGGGCCCACGACAGGGAAGCTGGCGCCCCGACGCTGCCGCCGCCGCTGCCGCCGCGGCCCATTAACGAGGAGCGCGGGCCCACCGCCGCAGCCTGGGGACCTGTTGCACACAGGCGCGGGCCGCGTCCTGGGCGAGCCGGGCTTCGGAGCTACCGCAGCTGGAGGTCCAGGGCCGCAGAGCGCCAGGCCCACGAGAGCCGGAGGCCCCGCAGCCCACACTGGGACACCGAGGGCTGCAGGCGCTGCGGAGCTCCGCGGCGTGCTTGCGCGGTGGCCTGGCCCGGTGCTGGGGACCCCGTTGGGATCCGGGGAGCCGCGGCTCGGCCTCCGCCCTCCTCTGCGAACAGGGCTCCATCTTGAACCAGTTTCCCTCTGTCCAGCCAAGCCCGATGAAAGCCTCCTGTGACCTTTCCTCAGGAGAAAATAAACGGCTAACAAAATGACTTCCACACGGAGGATTTTGGTTACTTCTTTCAAATAGATGTTTCCACGCATCCCTTATTTACAACTCCCCTTGCAGCATGCAGCTCGCTCTCCGCCTGCCTGAGAAACATATCTCAGTTTAACTCACTGCCTCCTTGGGAGCTCAGACAACTCTAGTGTTAGTCCATCCTGTCAGCTTGACACTCTGCAAGGTTTTCCTCTACACTAGTTGTTGAGATAGAGAAAAGAAGTGGGGAAATAGACATGGGCGTCACAGATTTGGGGAGGGTGAGGACTTGGGAGTCTGGATTTTTTGTCTACCTCTGGGTGGTTTGGTGCCTGGAAGCCTTGGGCCGAGACCCCTAGTTTAGAGGCCTGAAGAAGGAGGTCTTGGATTCCTGGTTTTTTGTTTTTTTCCAAAAGAACATCTCTCTTCCTTCTCCACCTGCCTAAAAGTGCCAGTGAACTTTTTCGCGGTGTCCACAGTTGGTTCCACTTCTGGGAGAGGGCGGTAGCCCACAGTGACATTTGGTACCCAGAGGGGTGGCCTAAGTGACAGCCCCTCCTGAGGAGAGAAGAGCCTGTGGGCCACGTGTCAGAGAAGGATAAGTCATTGACCCTCAATGTCTTCCCAAGCCCTCTTGGCACCCAGTCTGACACCCACACACCTCAGGGGAGCCCTTCCTACCTCAGGACGGAAAACATAGTTGTTTTGTTTTTACTGTAAGGAGAGAGAGAAAGAAGAATGGAAAGCAAAGTGAGCTTAGAAATGATTCCACTCAAATTTTTATCCAAGAGGAGAGACCCTGATACCCAAAGGAAGCTAATTCATGGCATTAAGGCTAGTGAACAGGGGGATTCACGTAAATAAACAAAGGGGGAGGAGCTTTCTGCCAAAGCTCTCATATCAAGGGAGGTCCCAATTAAAGCCCTGGACACTGCTCTGAAGACCCCTCCTAACTAAGATGGGATCTGCCCTCAAGCTGTAAGTGTATTGTGAGGGGCTTCATTCCCATAAGCTACAACCACCCTGTTGCCCAGCTGGGACCTGGCAGGATTAGTCTAGGCAGATCTCTGAGGACCCCAGGCTCACTGCTCCACCACAGGGGTATGAACCAGATCTTCATACCCCTGTGCCAAAAAACACCCACTGAAAGACATTGGAGCCAGATTCAGTACTTATTTTAAATATTTAAATAGGGGTCAAGCCATTAAAAGAGCATTGTCTTGGTAAGAATCTGAATATATAGGAACCGTTAAAGCTAATACGAATAATAAATTGATGGTGATATGTCGGTAACCCTCTCAACTGAGTATGTGATCTTGTATGATCTCACAGGTATTCTCTCTCTTAGCTACATGTTCGGAAATAGGGATAGTAAGTTCTGGACCTAAGTGAGAAGAACGTAAAGGCACTTATATATTTATGACCACCTCAGTTCACAAGTTTAATAAAATCACTCTGGGTATGCTAAGCACTGGTGGGGAGAATATGAAATTATGCTGCTATTTTCCAAAATGATAGAAAAGACTGTAGTTGCTTAGCCTGTATCCCACTTCACTGAATGCACAGAACCTTGAGAAAGATGGGGAGAAACAAGGAAGAGAGAGAAAGGTTTTAGTGTAGATATTCGTAAAATAAAAGTAGAAGAAAAACAACTCTATTTGATTATATTTCCTTGGGAAGCTGACACAGAGCTAAGGTCTATGGGAGGATAAAGCTATTTTAGCTGTGGTCCCTAGGAGAACAGGGCCTCCTGCAAAGGCCGGAATCAGCAGAGTTGGCATCTGGTACTTAGGAAGCCTGTCAGTCAGGCTGGCTTGTGGTCAATTATCTCCTTAAGTAGACTGGCATTAGTCCAGCCAGGGAGGAGGGCTGGTTGCATCCATAGGAATCAGAGCCAGTGAGCTGGAAGTGGCACTGCTGAACTCCAAGCATCTTTGCATTGTGGGGCTTGGAACACTGATCGACACCTCTCCTGGGAATCAAAGGTGACATTTGGCTGCTTGGCACTAGTACAGCCATACTCCAGAAGAGTGTGGAAACAGAATGCCTTAGGAGAAGAAATATTGATCATCAAAGCACTAAATCCCCTCAAATTCCATTCACTGGCAAAATTGCCATTTCTGATATGCACAAAATTTTACAGAAATCCTTGTGAATTGTGCTGGGATTTAGCTTCTCCACTGGATAAGAATGTTCATTCTTCATTGTACCTGACTATGAAATGGGCATGGAGGATAGTTTGGGAGCACGTTCAGGCTTGGATGATGTCGCAGGGGGTTGAAGTGGTATCCTTGGTAATCAGACTGTGGGTATGTGATTTTGCATGGGGGTGGGAGGCAGGGTGGAGTTGGTATTGAAAATGGGAAATTAAAGAAATGGTTTCATATGTCAGTCATAATTCTTTGTAGGTGAAAAGGCAGAGAGGGGATTCAAATAGAGGTGGGAAGTCCTCAAATTCCAGAGGGCAAAAGAGTTTCAAGTCCGACATTCTCATTTTGCTCATTGAAAGTATTTTCATTAACTTTATCTTTCAAAGCTGAAACACTACCTTATACCCTCTGGGGGAGATTGAAGAGATCTGCTTGGGATTTGAATTCAGTCTTAAACCATTGTTTAAATGGTATGAGTTTGGCAAAATTCCAGATGTACTCTGTCCCAAGCACTTTTCCCCCTTAACCATCCCCTGTGTATTTTAAGGAAAATTCA